AGCAAAAGGAAACTTGATAAATATTCATTTTGCCTAATTTCTACTTTGGAAAACTTATTTGGAGCTCTGAAAGCTTGACGCTGTATAATTTGGGACGCGCATGGTTGGATGCAAACTAAATGTTTAATTCTCGCAAATTAAGACACCAGCGGCGGTATAGGAGCATATATCTAATGTCATTCAATACAGAATAATACATGAAGATGTTTCAATGTTAAGATTAAATATATCTAACGATATGGAAATTAAATCTTGATAACTGTTTTTAATCTTTGATCTTTTGGGAAAATAATAGTGGAACTGGTTGAGTGACTGACGTATTCTACATTAAAAAGTGACAGATACGTGATTGACATCATTAAAATTTAAAGTGATACAGTGATACAATTATAAGTGAGGGTTGTGATTTATTTAGGAACGAAGTCAGTATTTAGGGATTTAACTTGCGCTTTCCGACATTATGCGTATTTCGCACACGATTAAGAAAATAATGTAATTCATTTATTTATATGAAGTACAAATGCATCAATCCTTAATCACCCGACTTGTTGAATGTTATTTCGTGAATACACAAATTGCATAACACATTCCCTGAGGACAAACCCAAATGGCCCGTCCCTTTGTGACAGGTGTTAATTAGAGAATGTATTGCCACCACATTATGTCCCGGCACTTTTATGACATGTAATGAACCTAGTCGGTCCCTGAATCTGTAACAACAACATTGGTCTTATAAAATCAAAGTAGCATAAATGTTACGTAATTCGTATTAAAAAATTGACTGATAAATATAACATGAATATAATTGCCCTTTTGGGGATAACATAATATTGGGAAAATATACTTAAAAGTACATGATTAAAGAATTTCAGAATCAACTGTTTCTTGTATTTATGACCGACTTCACAAAAACTGAATAATTAAACATATGTTTATATAGCTATAACTACATGCATGACACCTACATTATCATGAAATAATAATGTTGGTCATGTTTGTTAATTTGTACATTTCGTTGTTATTGGTATCCTGGGGATGTTGTAATTATACACGTGTTCTGATCTTATTTGACGTAGAGTACATGAAAAACGATTGGTCAACAGTTTGGTGCGGTCGATGGAAAGGTGTTCAATTACTAAGAAAAGCTATTTAACTGTTTAATACTTAATACTTGTCTTAAAATATGAATTAATCCTTAAGTTTTAACATTAGTGCAAATTCACCCGAACGTAGGATGTACATGGACCGATTTCAAAATAGCTAAATTGACAAATTGTTTCCCATAAACCACTGAATATAAACTCACTTAGCCTTTAGAATAGAAAGGCGAATCGTTTCTTCATATATTGTCTTTTAAGCCGATGGAAGTTTAAATCACTACAACTGAGTCCAAGGCGATGAAGGATTATGTGACAAAATCTGGTATCATGGCTTAACTGTATATAAGTCACACTGTCCAAGTTTAATAATCCTCTATATCAGATGACTATTCCAATTATTAATGGTATCAGGTAGGAATAACTTGGCAAAGCATTCTGTTCTACAACATATAGCCTGTATATTGGTTTGATTTCTATAAATGTAATTACTAACAGCAAAGATGTTTTCCATCTTGTAAAAAGGTGTAATGGCTGTGTTACTTTCTCTATATATTTTCTCGTGGCCTGTACCCCTTATCGCCCCACAAATAGTCCGTATAGTCCGTATTGAGTGAGTGAGTTAAAATTTAACGTCTCATCGGCAATATTTCAGCGTCCGGAATGAATCTTAGTGGAAACATTCTAGGATTAATTCTTGTTCTTGGTACAATTATCCCAAATATGGGCATTATATGCTTGTTCATAACTTCTAACGATTTATGTGAAAGGAGTTATTTAACTGAGTGAGTGAGTATGGTTTACGGCGGTGGACACCAGAAAGGTATCTAAGACTTCTAAGGCAATTAATCATAGGGATTTCCTTTTTAACTCGTCAATATCAGAATCTGACTGAAATATTATTCCCAAAGTCATAAATATTAATTTCCTTTCATTTTAAGATTAGGTTTTGCACTTGGGAAGACTTTAATTTAACGTGAAAAAGAAAGCTTCTGTTTTCTCTGGATTCAATTTTACTTACTTTCATCCATTTGGTAATTTTCTCCAAATCAGCATTAATATTTTACGCAGTAGTATTTGGAATTGTCCCTTTGGGGAATTGTCTGGACCCCACCGCAAACACAGTAAACAGAAATTCCAATGTGAATAATATGTACAATAGTTTGTTGGCTCGACATGCAAGACTCCATAATTTTAGTTATAATGTAAAACTCATAGTAATATTAAATTATATTTAAAACAAATAATTAATGTATTTTACATGGGAGACGAAGCGACACGCATTGTATTTTATAATAATGCACAATTTTGAATGCTTTAAACCTGTTGCATTAAACAAATATTGGATTTGATGTAGTCATATAGTGAATCAATATGTGTCTAGTCTTCCAAAGGTTCTATTGCGAACACATATAGTGTCAGCACTCATGATCGCCATATCTATGAATGAATAAAAATATCATCATTAATAAACTCACCTGAGCGATCACGTGTTCCCGGTATTTTTTATCGACTATGCTGTTTTTGGGATGTGCAATACGAATTGGCATGTTTTCATACTTGACAATTCACTTAGTAAAAAAACAATTTTGAAAATAAGTTGGTATCGTTTCTTTTGGACACTATTTTATAATTAATTTTACTTTGAAAACTCCAGAACTAATGTCGTGAACGTAATATAATAGGAATTTATTCCAACGATGTGTTTCCTATATATGTTTCCTTGTACAATTTTAAATTCATCGATTTTTTATCTTTTATTTTGCAATGATCGTGACAATCGCTAAAAGGCTACTCTCTTGCTATTCCGTTTAGTGGTTATTCTAGTTTAGACAGCGACAGCCTCTCGTTATACAACCAGTGCTTTTCTAACCCCGATTTATTTAAGACAGCGTCTGTCATTCGCTATACAAACAGTGTTTTTTCTAACCCCGATTTAGTTAAGACAGCGGCAGCCTTTCCCCATACAAACAGTGCTTTTCTAACCCCGACCTAGTTAAGACAGCGGCAGCCTTTCGTTATACAAACAGTGCTTTTCTAACCCCAATTAAGTTTATACAGCGGCAGCCTTTCGTTAAACAAACAGTGCTTTTCTAACTCCGACCTAATTAAAACAGCAGCAGCCTTTCGTTACACAAACAGTGCTTTTTCAAACCGCGATCTAATTAAGACAGCGGTATTATTTACATTATCTGTTACTAAAATCTGCACAAATGTTCTATTTTTTATGTAAAATGCTGTCAACATAAAGAAATAAAAATTATTTCATAACACTCCAAATATAGTTGCCATAATGAAATAGTATTAACGTGTTATTGTCACGTGCAAAAAAACTGTTCGGTAACATTAGTTTCAAACCCCAAGAAAACCTCTTACGAATTCAAAAAATTCAATGAAGCAGTGGTAAAATCTATCCATATATACAAAATTGTATAGTTTTGGAAATACCAACTATACAAAATTGTATATTTTGGAAATACCAAACATACAAAATTGTATATTTTGTATATATGGGTATTTTTTCTTGTGTTTCCATATAAATTGTGTGAATGGCGGGTGCTACCGATAGGGCAGGACATGCTTACACTTTTCGCCATCACCTGGTGTCATCGCTATCACTGTCCATTCATAGAATTTTTGTGCTGAAAAAACTCATACTTGACAAAAAAGTATTGAACACAAAATGCCAACTTTCCAGGATTTCCAAATAGAGCTTACTCAGTACTACTTACTATCAAAATATTTTGCAAATGTAAATTATGATTCTGGATATTTCAACAAGTACTGGTCAAGTTGTCATTTACTCTTCTTTTACAATTACTATTACTATATGTGTTATATGCGCAAATGTAAAATGAAAATGAAATGCAACATGAAATATAAAGTTTATAAAAATATATTATTTTCACAGCTAGTTCGCCCCTTTTTCTGTTCCATTGACGCTTTATATTTATGATTATCGAGAGGATTATCAGTATGAATTATATGCCGAAAAGCATTCCATTGGGCGTGAAAGGCAAAATAGTGATAACCATTCTATGACTGGATCACTGAAAATCAGTGATGACACAAAGTGTTGGCGAATGTCAAATGACAAACGTTTACTGCGTATCTATTTGTGTGTTTTTGCGTCACTTTAGAACTCGTGTATGGTGTATGGTACATGGATACATGGATTTCATGTTGTTACTAGATAAGTGAATTATAATTAAATATAATACCTTCCTTCCAATCCCATTGCTTGCTATGCTGCTAACCTTATACGTATCAAGATAAATATAATCTAAAAACATTCTATTTCTGAAAATAGATTAATTAAACTATATCCCCTAATACAATTTATCTTTATGCTGATCAATGTTTGGACTATTTCTAAACAGACTACGCAATAAAATAATGAAAAATATCATTGTTTTCAAACAAACATGTAAGGCTGTGTTCTAACATCATAGGCGATGACTGCTTGACTGGAATACGAACATGACACTGACTGTACACTTGAAATTTAGATTTGACCAAACAATCACAAACGTTATAAAACCTTTACCAGGCTGAAAGCAGATGCCATATCACTTGAGCTCCAGAACAAACAATGATACCCTTATCAAATACATCATCATCGAATCACTATTTCTTGTTTATTTCATTTTTAGCCACCATCAAACATGGGTGTATATTTTATCTTGCCTGGTAGTTTATATATTACCATTGCAGTGAAAATACAAACTCAGCTCTTAACTATCAGTCAAGAAGATATTTCTAAATATTTTACATGTGAATAAAACGACACCAGGTGTTCGTGAATGTGCAAATAACAAAAAATGACAACAGAATTCCTATTGTGTATCTATTTGTTGATTTCAATGTTACAATAAGTATAAAAAGATCTCATTATTCTCGCAGGTATTCTTAGAGCACTCCAGTGGAAACTCTATCCTCATATTGACCATGAGAAAAGCTATAAATGGGGCAAAGCTATTATATATCCTGACCTTGACACCCTCAGACCCATTCCTTGGGCAGGGGACGGGGTCAAGGTCGCTGAGATATTGTGCGAATCCCGGTGGAAGAAAGACAACTCTCCCCAAGGTGCATGCCCTCGGTATGTCGCAAGAAAACAGCTGCAGAGATTGGATGAACAAGGATATGCTTTCTTTTCTGGCTATGAAATAGAATTCAGTATTCTGGAAGAAGAAACCCTGAACCCTATATTTGAATGTTGGAACCTGTACAGCCAAAGAATGTTCAACAAACACAGCAAACGTCTACTTCATTTTGACAAGAACTTCAAAGAATCAAACATTGATGTGGAAAGGTACCATACTGAAGCGGGACCTGGAATGTGTGAAGCAACCATGAAACCAAAATTTGGCATAGAAAGCACTGATATGGCCATGAACATAAAAGAAGGACTCATGGAAATGGCAACAAATCTGGACCACCATGTAGTCACCTTCATGACATTTCCTATCTCTGAGAAAAACCCAATAGGAACTAACACTCATCTAAATATTTCACTTTGGAACAAAAATGGCGAGAGTGTGTTCTACGATGCGTCAGCTCCAGATAAGTTATCCGACATTGCCAAATATTGGATTGCTGGTATTCTGAGGCACAGTAAAGCTCTCTGTGCCTTCTGCAACCCCACTGTCAACTGCTACAGGACCATCAACAAGCCTTTCTGTCCATCAGCCATATTCTGGGCAATAGAGGAGCAAAATGCACTTTTAAGAGTGAAGAATGAAAGTCCCTCGAAGACATACATAGAGAACAGGCTTCCCAGTGGCAAGTGCAACTCGTATCTGGTTTTGGCGTCGACCATCGCCGCTGGTCTGGATGGAGTCATAAACAAACTGGAGTGCCCACCCGAGGGGAGTTCCGACAACGCCGAGATTCTCCCCCATAGTCTGGATGAAGCTCTGGAGGAGTTGGAGCAGGATGATGTACTCGTCAGCGCCCTCGGCAGCGAGCTGGTTACATGGTTTGTCAAGTGCAAGAGAGTTGGAGAGATTGACCTGTTCAAAGATGTTGAAACTGATGAGGAAAGGTTTGCATTGGAGAAACAGTATTATCTTTTGTGAATTTGGGCTGAAAAAGAAGTTCAGCTTCAAGTATAAATTCTTGTTCTATCACCATTACTTGTATTTATGACGTCTAAAACAAACTGCTTGTTTTGTAAATTGACATTTATTTGTCAAGGTCAATAAAAATGACAATCATGATCATATTTTAAAATTTGGGTGCAGGGCTGATTTTTTCTTTATGATGCATATGATATTTAAAAATAAATTAATTCATTGATTAAACATTTATCATTTTTGAGAATTTATAGAAATTTGTTTGAAAATTATGATTTTGTTTTACATTGTAATAAACAATATTTCAAAGAGTTTTATGTATTTTGTTTTATTTTTAAGAATTTATTGAAATTCGTTTGAAGTTAATGATTTTGTTTTAGGTATTTTGTTTGGTATTGTAATATACACTATTTCAAATATGTCTAAATGTGTAAGGGCTGTGGTCAGAAGCGTGGCTTCATGGTCAAGCCAACTTAAAACTTATTTGTTTCCCTCAAATTGAAACAGAGGCGGTTGGAGTCGTAAAAAGGAAGAATTACTGAGTTGGATTTGAAGACACTTTGTACAATACTTCTGTGATTTCAGATTGGATCAGACTAATATAAGATATTCTCAGGCCACAGAAGAGCTGGTCGCAAGTATTTGCCACCTTTGTAAACTCTACAAACATGGATCATAAACGAGACCTGAATTGTTCAAATCCACATTGAAAAAAAAACTACATAACTTTGATGACTAAAATTGATATATACATATATAAATCCGCATCGTTTCACTAATTAACATTTTTACTAAAAGTTCAACCTAAATGAAAACAAGAAAACATAACTTGTCAATGCAAGTGAATAACCATTCTAGATTATCCACCAAAACAGATTCCATTTGGCGTAAAGGGCAAAATAGAAAATGTCCATTTTATTCCAGATGAATACAATATAATGTCCTGTCATTGGGCCAGGGATCGAACACCGGAGCTTCCACTCCACCGGCAGACGCTCTACCACTAGGCAACGGAGGCGGTCTTCATCAGTAAGCAATATGATCCCCAAAAATGAATGCATGGTCAACGACCAGGATAGACTGAAAATAAAGTAGACACTCATTAACTCAAAGTGATGTGTAACATCGAAATACATGATATTATCAGTACTTTGAAACAAGAGGATCGATATTTGAGCATGGAGCTTATAAAAAAAATGTATTCACCCTAATGTTACATTGTCTTCATGGAGTCTCCTATTTCTTTCACATGCACAGTCATGTAAATATGTTAATAGATCAAACTATTTCATACAAGACGAAAATGGTCCAGTTTTTGTGTCAAAATAAACATTGTACTGTCTTTCCCAAACGTGGTTTAGGTTCTAGCAGTCATCAGTTTACCGATCCAACACTGAGGCACAGTCTTGTAAAATATTGGACAAAATTGAGATCCAAGATTTATAAGTTTATTACTTCTGCGCACGCCAGTGTGCATAGATGCATTTGGTAAAAGGCTACAACAAAACAAAACAAAAGAATTACCCCTTATGCAATAAGGAAAACACACATGTACGTGGGTACTTATACTACCTTGTGGTGGACTTCCTATAAGTCCGAATCAGCCTAGCATAGCATTAATACTGAAAGAAGCGCCAGAGCAATCATTAGGCTTCAATAAACATCTATAAAAAACTATCTGGTGATTTTAAGTGCGCATCATAAAATTTACACGTGGTTCCTGATGCTACATTACACTAGACTTTTCACATACTGAATACACATAAAATATAACATAAGTTACATCCAAAACATATCTAAAAGGTTCTTAACAATATAATTAATAAACTTACACTATGGATGGCTGAAGTTCGACTTGAGATAGCATGCAATGCCAAAAACCAATGTGGGGAACCCACGGACCAATGTCACTGTTGCGACCGACGAACGTTCTAAAACTAGCACTTCCGGTCCTAACCGAAGCGCATGATTGAGAACCAGTGGAATAAAAAATCACTGTTACTTGTAACGGCACAAACATAGTATTGCTAAACCAGTGTTGCCACCGGTGGGGCAGGATGCGCTAACCTTTTCGCGAGCAGCGGGTATCATGGTGATTGATAGTGATTCATAAACACATGCTTATGACATTGTTTCCTTCAGTTCAGATGCATGCAGTGAGAGGGGAGTTCAGCTCAGACACATTCAGTGACATTGTCTCTTTTAGCAGAGATTTGTGATAATTATTGAAAGCGTTTTGACGCATTTACAAATGTCACATATGATTTTGTGAGATGAGTTATTAACAGGGATTTGAAGAAAGTTAGACGACTGGGCCAACCGTGCCCCCGACCTGCTCTAACAGGTTACATACATATATATGTGTCGCCAGACACAACTGCACACAGGACACGTCGACACTAGAAGTGGTCAAGAAGGAGATTGCCAAATATGACTATGTTCGTTTTTCTCTCTGTGTCTTGAACAGTGAATATCGTGGTCAAGTTGTTGCTGGTCGCCATGCTGCCAAGTACCTGGAAGAAGGGATTGATATAAATCAAGGTAACCCAACATCATTTACTGGTTCTGATTCTCAGGTGGACTATAAGGATAAATGGGAATTGCTTGTGCCGGGGTGTCGGGCTGCCACGTTGTTGATTGGATAGAGCAGTGTGGCAGAGATTGTAGATGGCGGGTTCTGCCGGTAGGGCAGGCCAAGTTTACCCTTTTCTCGAACACCTGGTGTCATTACTTTCAGTGGTCCATTCATAGAATTTTCACAGCTGCTTTACTCTATATTCTCTTGCATTGACGTGTTATATTTACTTGAACGTGGTCGATGTTTCTGCCGGTGGACTGAAGTCCCCGAGTTTCATCATGAGCTCTACATCATTGCTAGTCATACACACCATATGCATAGTCCGTATCCAACGTTTGCCAACGGGATTTTGTGTTTAATTGTGATTAGTTGTTCTCAGTCTATTACACACAGTCTATTACTACGCCCTACGTTATACGCAGCTCTTGGGTTGTCTCATGCTCATCCAAACCACTCCCAGTTTCAAGAATTGTTCTTAGCATATGTAGCTCTAGAACCATTGCAATATGTAACAGCTTTCAAGCAGCAATTCAATACTGAATATTTCCTGTTTGTAGCTCCATGTATCCTGACCATTATTCGTCCCTGACAATGTAAGCATTAATACACTGAAGTTCTATGTATTCATTGTGAAAGTGGTAAAACCTTTCAATGTTTTAATCGTTATAATACGTCGCGGAGCTTCCACGGGCATTGCTAGGCATATTCACCAAGGTTATTTAGTGCGGATTGTGTAGATGGAGGCTTTTTCGTTTCGCCTATGTGATTTGTGCTTAATTGTGATACCTGAGGAATATAAGTTTCTTCGTGAGATCAAACCCTTCGACGTCTCAGGTATTCATACACATAGGATCCAACTATCTTCCGGCCAAATGAAAATGATTGTATTTTTCCTTACATTACAGTTTAGCCTTTTGATGTCGGTTAGGTTGTCTTCAGACCCATTTTCCTTTTTTAACGCAGATAAAATCCCGCATTTGCTACACAGAAAATAGCCTCGAGAATGATTACATTAGGATGATACACAACTTAAACCAGAAATTCGTTGAAAGATGGATATTAATCTCTACTGATTAGTAAACTTTACTAACGATTTGTCACCTACTTGTCTAATTAGTAAACATTTACTAATTGTTAGTGTATGAATGGACCATGAGATTCACTAAGTTAGTAAACTTTTCTATTTCTGTCAGTGTAACCTTGCCAAATCGTGGCTAACAATAAAAGACTCCCAATTTCAATGTTATCAGAATAGTTTACTTTTAACAATGGCTTGTTGGTTTTTTTTATATTAATGTCCATCGCAATCTGAAATTCCAACTGAAGGTAAAGACCATGAGCAGGATATGCTGCTAGCTGGAAACGTGGAATGTTTGTGTGTATGAGCCAAAAACTGTTCTCTTCTGATTTGTGTGTACATAAAGATTACACGTCCAAGATTATTGCACTTATATGGCGACGTGCATGTACGTGTGTGTGTGTGTGTGTGTGGCTGCTTGTACTCGTCCGGACTGATACCGATTTATAGTGCCACCTCACTGAGATACCATGCCGCAGTTTAACATGAATACCCAACTCAAACACAGTAAACTGACTCCGAGCCGACCAGACCTTGTTTTAGCCCCTTCATGCCGAGCGCCAGACAGGGTAACAACAAGTACCATCTTTTAACGTCTTTTGGCCGGAGATCGAACCCCGCACCTTCCGCTCTCCGGGCGGACGCTCTACCAGTAGACCACAGAGGCGGTTTCCGCTTGTTATAGGGTTTATAAAATCAACATAGCAATTTTGCAGATTTTAATACATTAGGGCATACTTAATCACAAATGCCTGACCAAAATTAAATTTGATAAATGGAAATAGTGTAAAAAGACGATAAAAAAACACGCGAAATCGAGTTTAGGTACATTTCAATTTCTAACCCAAACTCCTTTACAAAAACACATTCTACATACACATGCTATACGTTTTCAGATTCAGAGACACAAAATGAGCATATATCATCATCTATTAACTTCATTTTCAATCATTCCTTTTTGGTATATAAAGCTCAATTTATGAATCTGTACTGGAAATCTATTAGTTTAACATCATTGGTACACAATCTACAATTAGAGAAAACATTATTCCATAAAATGCTTTGATTAGGTTCATTTTCCCATTTATCACAAATCAGAGGAAAGTTAGTTGTAGCTATAAGTTTATCATAAAATATTCTGGAGCCCTTTGTTCTTAATCCTACTTGTCCCGAACCTATTGTTATGGGTACACATTCACCCGAGCGTGATGATGGGTAAGACATAGGGGATTAAGGGGATAACTCACATTTGACACAACTCGTTGGTGAATATTTCACAAAATATAACGTCACAACTAATTGGTGAACTCTGTACTGGCTGAACACTTTTAATACATATATTAGTGGGTGAGTGAACACATTAATCATTTAGTACGAATTGGGCAATAAAAGAAATTACAGACAACAAACAGTATTTCATTGTGGCGAATGCGCAGTTTGTTTTACTGTTTATTCCCACTTCTAAGAGGGATCGGCACTTGCTTTTTGCCGGATACATGTTCACGACCATACATCAAAGTTCCATTCAACCAACCATCATGTTAACACTAAGGATGACTTTGCCATGAAGTACAGTTGTATGTCTCTGGGTTGTGGGACCACGTCCCAAACCATCACAAGGGGTAGCATCCAAATATCTCATTGAGTTTCTGCAGATTGAGTTGGATAAGATTGCGTTCACAATCCAGGAAGTTTGATGCCACCCAAAAAGAGGAAGTATCGAAACCTGGACCATGCCAACCAAAAAATAGTGAACGGTTATTACAATGCTTTTATGCATCTGGACTGTGAATTATGTAAATGAAAATGGTAAATGTGAAATTGGCCAAAAAAGAACATATTTAATACAATGCTCAATTGTTTATTATATATTTGAAATTAGATTGCTCAAACAAACACGATGGTAATATATCCCTTGGCCACCGTTTATGCTACTCAAACTGGATGTTACTCATTAAGAAGTTTGTTACAGACATTAACTGTTTTTTAAATCATTCACAATGTCAAGATCAAAGGTCGTTTCACACACACAGCAATGTATGCTATGTTATTTTTGTAGGATTAAGTGTGTGTGAGTGAGCAAGTGAGTTTGGTTTTACGCCGCTTTTAGCAATATTCTAGCAATATCAAGGCGGGGGACAAAAAAAACGGGATTCACAAATTGTACCGCGTGGGGAAGCGAACCCGCTTTAACCAGTGGATTTAGATTATCAGAAACAGCAACACTTTTAGATGCTTCCCGACGTATTCGTTTATCTTCCAAGCATCAGAAGTCAGGCAATATATCAGCCAATAACAACACGTGTCACACATTGCTGCACCGTTGCGCTGGTAGCTTTAGACCGCACTCCCAAATAGTTTTGTTTGGGAATCTGATTACTGAGCGAATCAACCGCTAACTAAAGTAAAAAGAAACTTAATGAAGTAGTGGTAAAAGCGTTCCTTAAATACAAACAATGAATAAGCTGTGTTGAGCAGCCTAAACAACATTTGTTTTTCCTTTGGATATGTAAAAATATACCAAAATCTGTATGTTTTTGGATATAATGGATGTTTAAAACAAACTGAGCTATAGCATTTCTTTTTGTTCTTTTGTACTTTACCTTCCAGCTATCGAAGTGATTTAAAACGATGGAGAACATTGTTTAATTGCTTTTGTTTCTGATTAACCAAAGCTGAGACCATGCGAAGCGGAAAGCAGGAAAGCGACAGAGCGAGAAAACGATGTCCCCTCGAGCTCTCGTCCACCATAGTCAGCTGCCATCTGTGACCTGCTCTAACAGGTTACATACATATATATTTGTCGCCACATACAACTTGGCTTCAGTAGGTTGGAAGCTGCACACTAGACATGTCAAAACTAGAAGAGGTCAAGAAGGAGATTGCCAAATACGACTATGTTCGTTTTTCTCTCTGTGACTTGAACAGTGAATATCGTGGTCAAGTTGTTGCTGGTCGCCATGCTGCCAAGTACCTGGAAGAAGGGATTGATATAGCTCAAGGTAACCCAACATCATTTACTGGTTCCGATTCTCAGGTGGACTATAAGGATAAACAACACTTAGCGCGAGACAAAGCTCAGTTTAAAGGTTAAAACGTCTGAGTAAGGAACAATTAATTATCAGCGTGCCAGGTTTTCTATGTACATGAGGTAATCATTACAATGCATATGCAGGTGTTCTTGAAGGGAAACATCTAGTATATTCAGATAATTATGGACAGTATCAGAATTTCAACATGTTATCTCTATTTTTATTTAAAAAATAATTGCATCCTTTTGGATCGCAAAATGGTACGATCAACACTTGTCATTTTATGTATGTGATTTTTGAACCTGTATCTTTTACGAGGAAATTAATTAAGAATTCTTTAAACTTGTGTTAATAATACACCAGTTAATACAAATCTCTATATAAATTATTCCACCAGTAGAGTGTCAAAGTCTGTTTAGTTAGTTTTGACCATTTCACCCAAATCTAATGGGTTAACTATATTTAGAACAATCTCTTTTCATTATTGAGAAAGTCAGAATTAATTTGTTTGATGTTTTATATAATATAAAATAACATCAAAGTTAATACTAACTGATATCTCAACATACACATGTGATCACAAGCCAAACATGTAACCGGACAGGTGAAAGGCACAGCTGTAAGGGCAGATGTTATTAATCATTTTTATTTTCAACAGTAAAGAGGTGAAATGGAGTTTATCATCGCGTCAAGGATTTTTGCATTTATATAGCGACGTGCATGCACATTTGTGTATGTGCGTGGTTGCTTCTACTAGTCCGGACTGATGCCGAATTTTAGTGCTAGCCCACTGAGATAGCAGGCCGCACAACACCCCACTCAAACACAGAATACTGACTCCGAGCCGACTAGTCCTTGTTTTAGTCCCTTAATGCCGAGCCCCTTGCCGAGCGCCAGACGTTTTAACGTATTTTGGTATGACGGGGCCAGGGATCGAACCCCGGAGCTTCCGCTCCA